CTCTACAATAAATCAAAAAATTAGCCGGGCGTGGTAGCGTGTGCCTGTAGTTCCAGCTACCTGGAAGACTGAGGCGGAAGGATCTCCGGAGCCCAGCAGGTCGAGGCTGCGGTGGCCGGGAACGGCTACTGCACTCCAGTCTGGGCGACTGAGTGAGATTCCAACTCAAAAAAAAAAAAAAAAAGAAAGAAAAATATGGGGCTGGGTGTGGTAACTCACACCTGTATTCCTCCCTTTGGGAGGCTGAGGCAGGAAGATTGAGCCCAGGAGCTCGAGACCAGCCTGGGCAACATAACAAGAACTTGTCTCTACAAAAGTAAAACAATAAACTGGGCATGGTGGCACATCCTGTAGTCCCAGCTACTCAGAAGGTTGAGGTGGAAGGATGATCTGAGCCTAGAAGGTTGAGGCTGCAGTGAGCCATAATCTTGCCACTGTACTCCAGCCTGGGCAACAGAGTGTGACCCCAATTCAAAAAAATAAAATAAATAAAGGGTGCCTGGCAAAATAAATAAATACATAAGATAAAAAGAAAATTAAAAATGTGTCACCACCTTATAGGCTGGTGGCCGGTGGAGTTCTTGCTAATTGAAATGAAAACTCTTCTGACGTTGAAGGAAAATGCCCATCTTTACTTATTAGTTCACTCTGCAGGTATTTCCTGAGGACCCACTGTGTGCCAGGCCCTATGGTTCCCACAGACAGAGAGCATCTGCTCTCATGGGGCTTGCCTTACTCCTTTCTGTTGTGGAATTTCGGCTAAAGGGGTCACGCTATCTATACTCTCCTGTGGGTGGCTTTCTTTACATGTCCTATTTTGAAGGTTGTCCGTGGCATTACATGTATGAGTGCTTGTTCCTTTTTAGGCTGTGTTGTTCCCCTGTGTGGCTGTAGCACAATTCCTGTGTCTACTAACTTGTTGGACCGTTTTTTTCCGGGTTGGGGCATTATGACTAACGCCTCAGTGAACATTCGGGGCCAAGTCTCTTGTGCCCGAATGCAGTCATGTCCCTTGATGTATACCTGAGGGTGGACTCAGGGGTAAGTGTGTGGTACACTTTGTTAGAGACTTCTAGGGAGTTCTTCAAGATGGCTTGGCTGCTTGGCTCTCTCACCAAAAGAGCCTGCGGGTCCCTGAGTTCCAGCTGTTTTTGGGGGGCTGTCTTCATAGAGTCCCTTGCCCCTCCCCATTGGACTCCGCCATTCATGTTTTCCTCTTTCCCTGTCTCTCCAGGTGTTCCAGAGAAGTTGAGGGGAAGTGTGGATTTGGTGAGTCTCCATGAATTTGGGGCTAGTTGCCTGGGCTCTGGTCCCTTCCCTACAGCTGGGTCGGGAGCCTGGCTGGCTGGGGAGTGCGGGTCAAGTCCCAGCCTCCCATGGCTCCCTGACCCGGTCCAGCCCCACTCGACCCTGCCTGTACTTCCCACCTGTAAAGTCAGAGGGGGCGGGCCTAAGGAGAGGCAGGTGTCAGGACTAGCTGGGGCTCCTGCTGCCTATTAATTTATCACTGTCATTCATGAGTATTCATCGAGTGGCTCCTGTGTGCTGACCTCAGGTTCCCGCTGGGGCTGCCTGGGGAACAGCCCTCCATCTAGCAGGGGAGAGAGAAGTCAGGCAAATGAGTATGTAAATATAAACAGTGATGAGTACTGTAAACAGAAAGAATAATGGCTTCTGTGAGAGAGCCTTAAAGGGGGCTGAGCAGGGCTTGGTGCTGTGTCTCACACCGTAATCCCAGTACTTTGGGAGGCTGGGAGGATTGCTTGAGTTTAGGAGTTCGAGACCAGCCTGCGTAACATAGCAAGACTCATCTCTCTACAAAATTAGCTAGATGTGATGGTACACGCTTTCAGTCCCAGCTACTCGGGAGGATAAGGCGGAAGGATCATCTGAGCCCAGGAGGTGGAGGCTGCGGTGAACTGTGATTGTGCCATTGCACTCCAGCCTGGGCAACAGAGTGAGACCCCGACTCAAAAAAAAAAAAAAGAAAAGAAAAAAAGGGAGGGAGGACTGAGCCTGGGGAGGAGGCAGCCTCAGATGCTCCGAGGAGGCCTGGGCCTGAGTGCAGACAGAGCTGACCACACAATTCTCAGCTGTGCCCTGACTAGGTGACCTGCAAGGCTCTGTGGGAACTATTTATGGGTTGCTGGAGTCTACACTGCAACTCCCTGAATACCGGGATGGGAGTTCGTCTCTCCCAGGCTCAGTCATGGGGTTCAGCATGCCTGTCTGCCCTGCCCTTGGTTGTCTTCTGCCTGGGAATCTGGGTGGGGACCCTGCCACTCCTGCCACAGGAGGGTAGACACCACTTTCTGTCCCATCTCCCAGAACTGTCCACCAGTTGGGTGAGAGCAGGGGTCGCCTCCTCCCTGAGGAGGGGGCAGGAGCCTGGGTTTACATGGGTCCCCTGTGGGCAGGCCTACATCCTGGACGCTGAGCCTTGTGGCCACTGCTTCATTGTCAACAATGTGAACTTCTCCTGCAAGTCGGGGCTCAGCACCCGCACCGGCTCCAACATTGACTGTGAGAAGCTGCAACGCCGCTTCCGCTTGCTGCATTTCATGGTGGAGGTGAAGTGTGACCTGACAGCCAAGGTACAGCCACTGTCCCTGAAGGGAAGGGGGGGCATGTGAGGAGGTGTCTTGCCAGGGACCCCAAAAGCCAGCCAGCCAGCCAGCTCTCCAGGCAAGCCCTTTCTTTTTTTTTTGAGTCAAAGAATCTCACTCTGTCGCCCAGGTTGGAGTGCATTGGCATGCTCACAGCCACTGCAGCCTCTACCTGCTGGGTTTAGGTAATCCTTCTGCCTCCACCTTCCAAGTAGGTGGAACCACAGGTGTGCACCACCTTGCCTGGCTAAGTTTTTGATTTATTGTAGAGATGAAGTCTTGCCATGCTGCTCAGGCTGGTCTCGACCCCCTGAGCTCAGGCAATCCTCTCGCCTTGGGCTCTCAAAGTGCTGGGATTATAGGTGTGAGCCACTGGGCCTAGCCTCAGGCGAGCCCTTTCATCTGGAAGACCATGGGAGGCAGGATAACCCAGTGGTTCTGCGTTCAAGCTTCAGACTCAAAGGAGTCTGGGTCTCTGAACTACCTACTGTACCTCAGTTTCCTCATCTAGAAAGCAAGAATAGTCCCCATCCCGTAGGTTATTGTGGGGATTAAGTGAACGATGCCTAAGCACAGAAACAACACAGAACAATGGTTATTTAGACTACTGTGACTGTCATTGCTTCAGCCTTGGCTCCAGGGAACCCAGAAAGTGTCCAGGCCTTCGGGCTGGGCCCTTTTGCTGCCTGGACAAGGGCTGGATCCCTCAGTGTGCCTGGCTCACACATAACTTCCCTTGTAGAATATGCTGCTGGCTTTGCAGGAATTGGCACAGCGTGACCACAGTGCTCTGGACTGCTGTGTTGTGGTCATCCTCTCTCACGGCTGCCAGGTAGGGGGCATCCCTCTACTTGGCCTTCCTCCTTGGGTAGAAGCAGGGTAAAGGCTATGCTGAAAGGCCATGCAGGAGCTCTATCCCTTCCTGTGGTCAAAACACTCTTGGCTTTGTGGGGAAGAGCTGTGGGGCCCTGTTCACCACCTGTATTCTCGGGAGCCATCTGGTTCTCTGAGGAGTTGGCTGTGCTTTCTGGGTGGGGTCATGTTCCTGGGAGAAGCCATCTGGGAGCGGGAGGGAGGAGGCCAGGTCTGCTCACAAAGCTGCTGCCCCTGGATTTTATTCAGAGCCGCGCACAGCACACAAGAGTTCTCAGCTCCTGCCCCTATCCTGCCTGGCATTGTTGCAGGCCCTTTACTGCTGGACTTGGGACACTGGGACACACTTGGGGTTTGGCCACTCTTGTGCTGGGTTATTGTAGCCAAGCCTCTACCCCTTCCTGGGCCTCAGTTTCCTCGTCTTTTTTTTTTTTTTTGAGTCAGAGTCTCACTCGGTCACCCAGACTGGAGTGCAGTGGCCGCTCCCGGCCAGCGCAGCCTCGACCTGCTGGGCTCCGGCGATCCTTCCGCCTCAGCCTTCCCAGTAGCCAGAATTACAGGCATGCGCTACCACGCCCGGCTGATTTTTTTATTTATTGTAGAGATGAGGTCTCGCTGCCCAGGCGGGTCTTGAACCCGCGGGCTCAGGCAATCCACTCACCTCAGCCTCCCAAAGGCGCGGGATAACAGGCTGAGCTACCGAGCCCGGCAATTTCCTTGTATTTTAGGTTGAGGGGTTGGATGGATCATTAGACACAGGCGAGAGACTTGTACTTTCCCTGTGGTCTGTTCATTATTTTCAAAACTGACAAATTTCACCCCAAAATCAGGATTTATGACTTCCTTTAAAAAAACCAAAAAAATGGCCTGACAAGGCAACATCCTCAGACAGCAAAACTCTGGCCTGTAACTGGGCAGGGACTGCCCGTCTCGTCCTTTGTCCTATAGTGTGGCCCTGAGACAGTGGCATGGGCATTGCCTGGGCACTGGCAAGAAATGCAGACTGCCAGGCCCCCCACTTCATTCAGAGTGTGCACAGTGACAAAGTCTCCAGGTGGTTCCTGTGCATGTAGTTTGGGAAGAATTGATTTAAAACAGTGGTTCTGTGTTTAGCTGCATGAGAGGTGCCTGGAGGACCAGACTGCTAATTAGGAAGTCTGTGGGAGGCCCGAGAATTGTATTTCTTACATGTTCCCAACTGATACTGATTCTGCTGGTCCAGGGACCACACTTTGAGAACCACTGGTCTAGAGGAAGCTGGCCAGCACTCTTCAAGTAGATTGGCCCCTGGAGGCACTTTTGAGACCCCTGGAATGGATGCTGACTAGGGTCTTTCCAGAACCAACCTGCTCTGTCTAAATCAGCCTCATGCCCCTGGCTGTGACCTTCTGAATGCTTGGCCCCAGAAAACTTCCGAACAAGCTGGTGGCTTCCTACCCTGTCTTCTTGGTCTTCCAGGCCAGCCACCTCCAGTTCCCGGGGGCTGTCTACGGCACAGACGGATGTCCTGTGTCTGTCGAGAGAATTGTGAACATCTTCAATGGGACCAGCTGCCCTAGACTGGGAGGGAAGCCCAAGCTTTTCTTCATCCAGGCCTGTGGTGGGGGTAAGTGGCCCCTCAGCCTCCTGCGGCTGGATCTGGTGGGGAGGGAGCCACTGCCTGCTTCCTTCTCCACCCCAGCTCTCAGAGCCCACGGGGTGTTTCCAGGCCACCAGGGGGCCCCATACATGGCTGCTGTTGTCCATATGGCAACACCTTACCTAGCTAGAGCAGGCCTTGACCTTGACCGCTCTGTAGAGATTGGAGTCTTTCATTTTGTGGTGCAGTAGCTTCATGGGCTTATGTGACTTTGGCAAATTCAACTCCAGAGATGTGGCAAAAACAACCACACAACACAGAGGAGAGAGGAAAAAAAAAACCCTTTTTTGTTTTCCTTTTATCAGTCCCTCTAACCTCCATCAACTAGACCCCATTCCCACTATCCCAGAGAAAGGGAGGCCACAGCTGACCTACAAGGAGAAACTGGATAATTTAATTGTTGGAATTCCCAAGGCCCCAGGTCCTGGGAATTTGAGGAATTTTTTTTTTTTTTTTTGAGATGTAGTCTCACTCCGTTGCCCAGACTGGAGTGCAGTGGCACGCTCATGGCCACCACAGCCTCGACCTGCTGGGCTTAAGTGATCCTTCCACCTCAGCTGTCCAAGTAGCTGGAACTACAGGCATGCACCACCATGCCTGGCTAATTTTTTGATTTATTATAGAGATGATATCTCACCAAGTTGCCCAGGCTGATCTCGAGCCCGTGGGGTCAGGCAATCCTATAACCTCGGCCTCCCAAAGTTCTGGAATTATAGGGGTGAGTCACCGTGCCTGGCCAGGATTTGAGGAATTTTCTTTTTTTAATTGTAGAGATGAAGTCTCGCCGAGTTGCCTGGGCTGATCTTCAACCTGTAGGCTCAGGCAATCCATTTGCCTCGACCTCCCAAAGTGCTGGGAATACCGGCCGAGCCACTGAGCCTGGCCCCAAATGTGTAGGCAGTTTTTTTTTGTTGTTGTTGTTGTTGTTTTGAGTTGGAGTCTCACCCAGGCTGGAGGGCAGTGGTATGCCCCTAGCCACTGCAGACTCAACCTGCTGGGCTTAGGCGATCCTTTGGGCTCAGGTGATCCTTCCACCTCAGCCTTCCAAGTAGCTGGAACTACAGGCACGCACCACCATGCCCGACTAATTTTTTTGATTTATTGTGGAGATGAAGTCTTGCCAAGTTGCCCAGGCTGGGGTCTTGGACCTGGGGGCTCAGGCATTCCTCTCACCTCAGCCTCCCAAAGTGCTGGGATTATAGGCGTGAGCCACTGTCCTGGCCTGATTTGAGAAATGTTTAAGGATTACTTGGTCATTTTTAGCTTTGGGATATGACCTGATTTTTTTTTTCTTTTGAGTTGGAGTCTTCTTGTGGCCCAGGCTGGAGTAATGTAGCACAATAACAGCTCACTGCAACCTCTACCTCCTAGGCTCAAGCAATCCTTCCACCTCAGCCTCCAGAGTAGCTGGGACTACAGGCACATGCCACTACGTCCAGCTAATTTTAAATTTTTTTTGTAGATGCCAGGTCTCACTATGTTGCCCACGCCAGTCTTGAACTCTTGGACTCAAGCAGTCCTCCCACCTTGGCCTCCCAAGGGGTTGGGATTACAGGCGTTAGCCATCACGTTCCACCTATATGACCTGATTTTAAACCTAATCCTTACTTCACTGTTACCTTATCTTCTTATAAAAATTTTCTTTTCCTGGCTTGTGGGTCCTGATGGGAATATTGGCGAATACTAGAAACACGGTCCCAGGGAGTCCCCTCTGATCTGGGCTCTCCAGGGGCTGGGACATCTGAAAGACATTTCAATTCCTTGCCTCTTAGCCTGCTTTACCAAAGAAGTGGGCATTGTTGTGTCACAGAGCTGTCTCCCTTGTCCAAGGGGCACTTTACACAATGACAGTCTATAAAATGGGCACCTTTATTTCTTCCATACTTAGTCACTGTCCTGTTCTAGTCTACATCGGCGGGTGGGATGGGGGTTGTCTAGGAGAGCAGACTCTGGTCACATGTTCATCCCATAAGTGTTTGTTGAACAACTGCTGTAATACACCAGGCTGTGTGTTAGGTACTGGGTATAGGGGGAAGACGGGGTCTCAGTCCCCTGGGATTTATCATTTGACATGAACTGTATTAAGTCACTGTTGTGACCCATGCCCATAACTTCGCCACAAGTGACTGAGGATGCTTGATTAAATTCCAAATTGGCTACTTCACACAACCCTGGGCCAGTTAATTTCTAGAAGTCTCGGCATATGGGGATAATAACAGGACCTAACTATGGTGTCACTATGACACTATCTAATGTGCTCATTGATGTGTATACAGGCCCTGGTTCATTTTTTTTTTTTTTTTTGAGTTGGAGTCTCACTTGGTCACCCAGGCTGGAGTGCAGTGGCATGCTCATGGCCATTGCAGCCTCTACCTGCTGAGCTCAGGTGATCCTTCTGCTTCAGCCTTCTAAGTAGCTGGGGCTATAGGCGTGCACCACTACACCCAGCTAATATTGATTTATGTAGAGACGAGGTCTCGCCATGTTGCCCAGGCTGGTCTCAAACCCCTGTGCTCAGGCAATCCTCTTGCCTCAGTCTCCCAAAGTGCTGGAATTAAAGGCGTGAACCACCACTCTTGGCAACCCTGGTTCATTTTTTTTTTAATTTTTTTTTTGAGTTGGAGTCTCATTCTGTCGCTCAGACTGGAGTGCAGTGGCTG